CAATTGCTACCGATAACCGTGAGCAGTGGCAACAAATTGATGTCTCACTGTGTACGGTTCTTTGGTTTTCTATTGCTCCGAACCTTCAACATTCTTATCAAGCATTCGACACATGTTACGATGTTTGGCACAAGGCCAAGAAAGTTTACGCTAATAATGTTCAACGTCTTTACAACGTCATCACCACTATGATAACCACTAAGCTTGAGAATAGGGACATACAGACATATTTGAGTAAACTTGACCGTCTGATTGCTGATTACAATAATTTAATGCCTTACCCCTCTGATGTGGCAAGCTTTGAGAAACAGCGAAACCAGTTCTTCATGATTCTTGCACTTGCTGGTCTTCCTCCTGAGCTTGAGTCTGTCCGTAATCAGATTTTGTCTACCCTTATTATTCCTACATACGACATTGTTAGTGAACAATTGTTGCATCTCTCCATCTCTCATACTGTGGCTACTCCTTCTGCAACTGCTGCAGACTCCTTTGCTCTTGTTTCTCACTCATCTAATCGTGGTAGTGGACGTAACGAAGGTCGTGAAAAACATAATCGTCGTTGCAATTATTGCCACCTCTTTGGTCATCTTGAAGTCAACTGTCGCAAAAAGGCCCGAGAACAGTCATCATCAGCGAATGTTGCTCATGTGCCCAATACTACCTCCTCTGTCGGCTCTTCCTCTCTTACAGATGTCACTATTTCTGCCTGACTATCAAGATCTTCTTCAGCATCGAGCAGCCCAACAATCTGCCTCGCCTACCACTATCGTGGCTCACTCTGGTAATCCTATAGCCTTTATGTCTCAGTCTCCTTCTCTTGGACCTTGGATTCTTGACTCCGGTGCATCTGATCATATGACTGGTAATCAATCTTATTTCTCTAAATTGTTTTTCTCCGACTCCTTGCCACCTGTTACTCTTGCCGATGGTTCTCAAATTAAAGTTCATGACATTGGTCAAATTCACCCACTCCCTCACCTCCCTTTACACTCAGTTCTGTTTGTTCCTGGTTGTCCTTTTAATTTAATTTCCATTACCAAACTCACCAGTACCCTTGATTTCTTTGTGTTGTTTGTTAATAATTCTGTTCTTATTCAGGATCGGCGTACTGGACAGACGATTGGAGCAGGACATGAGTTTGGGGGATTGTATCGTCTCTCATCACCGATTGCGTGTTGTTAGATATAATTTTATCTTATAGTTTTTTATCTTATAGTTTTTATCTTATGGGCCTAGGCCCACTACTTTGTATTTAAACACATCTTTTGCTTTGCAATCCATAAGGAATATGTTCTCTCCATTCACATTACTCTCAACATGGTATCTAGAGCCTAATCCTTGACCTCCCGGTGGACCCACTGTTCATCGGTGCCCGGAGAACGTGTCTCATTCCATTTTCCGGCTACCCATCCTGTCGTGTCTCTTTCCGGCAATTTTTTCCTATTTTTTTAGGGTTTCTTCTTCGCTGCCGCCGTCCGCCGCCGCCGCCTTCTTTCCGGCCGGCGACCCCCCCACCCAACTCGCCTCCCTCCGGCGAACCCAACG